ATATATATATATATATATATATATATATATATATGAATTTATATATTTTTGTTGTGGCATGGTTTAGCCCATTTGATCCAAACGGTCGAACTAGTGACCCATGACCTGAAGGCAAAAGTGGTTTGGCCTTCAGGTCATTTTTTAAAACACTGGTGTAGAATTTAAATGTCACAATTTAAATTTCCCCTTATGTCATAACAAAAAGCGTGAGGGAGGGAGGAACCAGCCTCGAAGGTGATGTTTGGCGTTGATGATGATTTCTCCTAGTCGATTATCCAAAAATCGATGATTTCTTGAATCAGTGGTTTTGAAAAATCATAAAAAAAATATTGTTTGGTATTGATTTTCAAGGGCCAGTTATTTTTGCATTAGAGTTATTATTCAATGACATGTTGGATGCCATGTTATCCTCAAGATGTAAGTACGGTGGTTAGGCTGTGTACGAGGGTCTCTTTGAAAGACAAAGGAAGACCGAATGCAGGAGGTAAGTTAGAAGGCTAGGGCAAATGTCAATGATAAAAGGGTAAGATAGAATGATTGAACGAGTCTTGCTATCATGAGACAGACTCTTATTTATAGGGAGAGATCCTGAGGTCCCGAAAGGAATGAGCCATAAGTGTTCGATTCCCACTAGGAAAGAGAATATTGGATTTGCTGTTGGTTATTAAGGAGCACTATAAGGTTTTGCCACGTGTTTTATGAGATCTCTTAAGGACAAACTTTCCTTTCATCCAGGGATTCTCATAATCTGCGTATGCTAATTCCTTTCATGATCTATTTAACCAACGTGGTAGGGTGACATAATCGCTTGACGGACGCTCTTTTATTAAACTCACGTGGCGCCTTATCACGCGTGTAATTTAAAGGCGCATATGTAACTGATATTTGTTAACAGTCTACGATGATTCCGCAGTTATGTAATGATATTGAATTCATCACAACTTTGCGCACTTCTGAAGTTCATTGCAGAACCGCGTGCTTCTAAGGTTTATTGCATGTTTATGCATATCTAGGATTTATCACGGGTTTGCGCTAGCCAAAGTTCATCATGATTCATCTTGATTACGGGTTTATTGCGACTGTGCGACGAGTCATACATTCATCGTAGTCGTCCAATGAGTTATAAGCTCATCACAGGCAACTGACGAATTATGAACTCATCGCAGGCATCCATGTGGTATCAATTCGATATCCTTTGTACTTTGATGGTCTGAACGATCACTATGTACCTACACAATAAATCAAACTAAGTTAAAAATCAGTAAATCCCTAGAAAAATGTGGTCCTTGAAATGGGTTTATTTGAATAATTGATTTTTGGCTGGTTTCCCATAAATCAGCATAATTGGCCAACCAAACAATAAAAAAAAATAATTGATTCTTCAAAATGCTGATGTGAATCCTATGTGACGCCGATTTCTGAGAAATCATCATCGATGCTAAACATCACCGAAATATTGAATTATCCATCCATCGTAAAAACTCACTCCATTTGTATTGCGACTATTTTTTTTTTACTCCCTAAATCTGAACTTCACTACTTCGGAGTATGTCGGAATAACCCCTATCTTTGCATATTTTCCTCCATGAAGAGTGAATTATACATGATACATTCACTACTACGTACTCACCATTGGCACTTTGATTTTGTGTAAGATAAAAGTGAATAAAGATTTCATTTTAGAATAAAACTATGTTGGCAAAAAGACATGATGCAAGAATAGCTTTTACTACTCAAAACACTCGATATTTCCTATCACAAATTGTTTCCCAAGTCCATGTCCCTAAAACGCTATTATAGTGTATGGAGAACATCTCCCCTTGAATGACGAGGGAGATATGGATGTGGGAACAATTTTTTTTTTATACAATAAGAATATCTTAACACAATAGAAAGAAAGATATGCCACGACGAGAGTCAGCTTCAACATACATATCATGAATGTTTGGAATCCATGTTATGCAAAGAGACATTGCTTTTGCTAATTCAAATTGAGGGGTGATATCAAATCGGTCTATTTTTCGGTGTCATATACATAATCAGTGCATTCGTCATAGTCAGTAGCTCTGCATCAAAGTCATCATTGATATCATCAATCAGATAACCTTTAAGTTTGTCATCCATGAACTTGTTACTAGTAGTGGGAGCTTATGTGCATTCTCTAACCAATCAGCGGCTTAATTTCATCTAGAGATGTCAATTTCTATCATATGCAATGGGTACCCATCCCAATGGAGCAGATTTATTTATTTATTTGGCTTGAATAATTGGTTTTGGGATTCTACAAACTGTATGGGTATAGATCGGTATGGTATTAGACTAAATGTAAGTTAAACCTAACCCTCACCAACATGCATATTGTTGGCAACATATAAATTTTAGTATCATGTGTTTGAATTTTATGTGAAAGATAATTGATAGTTTACATGTTTTTTACCTATCTTAATCAAATAATTGAAAATTTTGTTGTTTGCTTGTGTTATTTTACTTATTCATTGATTATATATAACAAACAACAATAGGGAATTATGTGTGAGTTCTAAACCCAAACTCCATTATCCTTGAATGTGGGGAGAGTTTTACATTTTCATGTGTCTGGATTTGAATTCTTAAAATCCAACTCAATTCTGGTTTTGGGGCTGGTACGAATTGGGAAGTTTAAGGATATGAAGTATGTCTAAAGTTTACAAAACTCTCTCCGAACCCGCCCTGTTCGGCTTGGGCAAAACACGTTCGAACCCTCTACTAACAAAATTTGGCTTCACTAAGGGCAAAACCCATTTGAACAGCCTTTACTTCATTGCATTGAGAAAATCTATCTACTTATATGCTTTATTTTATGAGAAAATATTCCCATAAAATATTCTCAATACAAGATTACAAAAGGCTGTTGAATTTATGCAGATGAAAGCCTATCTCCTACCAATATAACCTTGCGGTTAGAACGTATTAGATCAAGTTGATGGAGGGTTGAAACTTATTTTATTGACAGAACTTCAGAGAAGATCTCAAAGTCCGAAATCGACAGTCAATTTTGATAAATACCACCGGATTGTTATTATCATACCCGTTGATTGGTTATTTTTTTTTCCAATATCATATTCCATCATTTTCACCAAATTGTAAATGACAAATTAAGAGAGGGAACTTTGGACAAATTTGGTTTTCCACGTGGCAAATTAGCTGAAAATCAAATAAATTGCATTTACGAGGTATACCGTATGAACGGTCAGGCGTCGATATGAATGGGCCCAGAACAAACCCTATATGAAAGGGGCCCACATCAAACTAGAATGGTATGTTGCTTCTTCTTGGATAAAAGGGGGCAGTTTCGATATTTCAGTTGTAATTAGGGACATTTTCGGCGCACTCCCTTTCTTAAAGATAACTCCCCTTGTTAACCCCGGTACCAAAGGAGGCCTGATCTTTATGCGTACCCTTTTTCCTTATCGGGGGACGGTCTGGCGCGTCCCGTCCCCGCTTTGGTTCGTCTGTGCTTACGGAACCAAAAAAACGACTATCGTATCATTTTCTTCTTCTCGCGCTGCCAAGTAGCGAAAAATTGAATTAGTAGCAGGACTGTGAATTTAGGGTTTCTTTGGTTGCTCTAATTTAGGGTTTCTACTTTGCCATGGAAGAAGAGGAGGAATGTGCGGGCGTTTACAGGCCTTCTCTGAAAATCGAGCATTCGAACCACGACAAGTTTGAGGAGCTTGAGGAGTTCCCAAATGTTCAACAATGCGGAGTTATTCCAGAGATGGACGATTCGCAGCTTGTCGGGGGGTCGCCCGTTGTTACTGAAGGGGCTGATGTGGCTGGGGAAGGAGCTGATGTGGCTGAAGATGAGTCAGCTATGGTCGGGGAAGGGGCTGCTGTGGCTGGAGAAGAAGCTTCGCCGATGGAAGAGGCGGAGGTCGAGATGGAGATGGACGCAGAGGAGACCGAGGTTACAGAGACTACCAAAAGTGGCGGGAAGCGCAAGCGAGGACGGCAGGCGAAGGTTCAGCCCAGATATTCATCGAAGAAGAATGAAGAGGATGTGTGTTTCATTTGTTTTGATGGCGGGAACCTCGTGCTTTGCGATCGCCGGTGAGGTCTCCTCTTTTTCGTGTTATTCTTGTTCAATTTATTTATTTATTTTGACTTATTTTTATTGATTTCACCTTTATTTATTGTTTCTGGTTTTTGTAATAATTTCCCCTTCTCTTTCCTTGCTTATTCCTAAGAAAGTGTTTTGGTGGTTGTTAGGGGCTGCCCTAAAGCGTATCACCCTGCTTGTGTTAACCGGGATGAGGCATTTTTCCGTTCTAAGGGTCGCTGGAATTGCGGTGAGTGGCACTGTTTCACTTTAACTTCCTATTTTGTTGAACTTCTTGCATTTTATCGCTCATCTTTTTCTTATTCTTCTTGCCTGCCCTGTTAAATGTTTTCTTTTTGGTGACTGATAGTGTGGTTTTTATGGTGGTTCTCATATTGTAAATTTGTAATGTGGGTCCTGTACGTTCGTATATTGTAAACTAGGGAGAGCTCGAGCAATGTAAACGAAAATATTGATTGGACATAGGCCTCACATATCACATTTTGCGTTTATGACAACAGAACTCGTATTCTTCTCTAGTTGCTTCACCAACCACATAACGAATTGGCTTGTAGTAGAAACTCTCTTGCATACCATATAACTTAGTTCAAACATATGCTAGTGCGAATTCTTGGTTCCTTTTACATAAAACAATTCGTGGTTCCTTTCAATTAATGGAAAAATTACTTATATATCCATTAATCTTATTTGACCTTTTTGTGCTTTCCTGTAAAGGTCAGGAGGTGCATAAGAAAGACAAAATATATTGTGGGAAAATTATAGAGAAACCCCTTCAAGGAACTGGTTGTTATTATTTGCGATATCGCCCAGCACACTGTTTGTCATTGGCGAACTGGTCCATGGAGTAACCCCTTGCGAATGTATATATGGGTGTGAGTGTGGTTACCTTGGAAATGCCTAACTCTGCCAGGGGCCTGAAAACTCTCTAAGGTCTCTTAGGCAATTATTTGCCTACAAGTAACTTGTTGGATTGTGCTTTCTCTCTGTAGGGGAATTGTGAAATGATCTGAATTTATACTTTCAGATTTATGGATTCCGTGGCACTTTGTTGCTTGTTTCTGCTCTCGCTTGTGGGTATGAGCTTTGCTTCACATGCGAATTTGTGCCAGGCCTTTGAGATATGGTTGCCATTCTTCTGGTAACTTTACTGCAGTTTATGCAAATAAGAGAGCTGGTAACTTGTGGCATAACCAGGTGGGATGGATGTTCAGATCACTGGGGGCAAAACTGCTGCAGCTGTTAATGCAAGTTTTTCTGCCCTTGGCTTAAGACTAGATATGTTATTTGGTGGTGTTCAATGAGTAGTGAGCGGGAGAGGCAGAGAAGGAAGACACCGTTTTGGTTTTAGAAGAAAATTGAATGCTTGATTTTTTGAAGAAGATTGCCCCACTTTTTGATTAGTTGTAAGCAATGTTGTTTTATTTTTGAGTTGCTGATAAAATAATGTTGTTTTTTTAATTGAGTTTACAGACAGACAGCCCAACCAAAAAGTTGCTCAGGCATAATGTTGCCTACTGTTCAATTAGAACCTCTCAACCCCTGATTTAGCTATTCCTTCAGTGATGGGTTTTAGTTTCCTTGATATTCATCTCATCTGGCCATTCAGTTGAGATGGGATTTCTCTAATTTCATTAAGAAAATGTGAGAGTATCCATGGACTCCTCCCCAAACTTTGACACCGCAATATTGCATTTCTTGAATCTCCTTCAACAGTTATTGATGTGATCTAGTATTCTAGTGCTACTTGACTGTACTGGGACCAACCAACAGGGCTCCAACCTTTTCTTCTGTGGAGTCTCCTTTGGAACATGTTTGTAATGGAAAAAGAAAGGCATCTTTCTTTCTACCATGTTCATATGTAAGTGAAGATAATTGCATGAGAAGGTAGTTTAGGTAAAACACAGAGTTTATTCTCTTAATAGCTTTCTATTCAGACCAAAGTCTATCTTTAAGGTTGTTTGCATCCTATCCACAACCCATTTTGAAAAGTTAAAGCACCTTCCTGATCATGTATTACTGCAAATCTTCTGGGTCATGGATCTCAATATTAGACATTGACTAAATCTAATCTATTTTACTGCTAACTTCTGAAGTTCCTACTACGTTGTTGATATTATTGGTTCATTTCTTATTCCTGGTGATTTTATCTGTGCGGCTTGAGTTATTCTGGGTGGCTAGGTTCAATTTCGTATATGCTTCTTTAAAGACCGAGCTTTTGACAGATGGAAATAAACAAGGACACTATTTTTTTTCTCATTGACTTATAAATGGTAAGGATCCTTGAGTCGCCTATTTGTTGGGTATCCAAAATTTTTATAATCAGAAACTCAGAATATAATAAAAATTTATTAATAAAAAGGATGAAGTACAGTTTCCATGCCTTTTTTTCTTCCTGATTAACAACAAAAAGGAAATAACTACTGTTTCCAAGTTGAGTCTATAGCATTTTTTCGTTCATGCAAGGTATTGAAACACTTGTATTGTTTATCATTGTTTTGATACTTCATCTAAGGGAGTTTTTTGTAGTGATGTCAACAGGTTGGGTTTGCCTCAACCTAAACCCAACCCAACCTGGCTAGATAAGGAAGGGTTATAAACCTGATTATGGATGATCTGACACTAACCCCATAAGGTCAGGTCTGTGCAGTTTTACCATTTAACCTGGCCCACTGATTAGAGATTGGCAATTGCAACATCCTTCTTAGCTTCTCAAGGATGGTAAGTGTTGATAATTTTGTAAGATCTGATGTTCTGGCTCTAATTAAAGGTGTACTTCCTGCCTAAGCTCTGTCGGATGGAGAGAGTTTATTGTTTGAAAGGGACTATAAAATTGTTATAAGCTAGCTACAGTCGGGTAAAGAAGCACTATGGATTTTCAGGTCATTGGTTAGATAATCTAGAGCTGAGCTGGTGACCTGAATACATTGTCCAGTTGGGTCCCAAGAACGGCAAACACAATGTTAACATGGAGGTGTTATGCGAGGCATTCCACTACCTGGAGGTGTGAGGCATAGTTTAGAAGTCAGAATGTAACAGGCATAAGCCTCCTTAAGAGGAGGGGGATGGGGAGGAAGAAGAGGAAGGAAGATCTCATTTTTCTTTATTTAGAAAAAAAATCTTTTATGTTAAGAAGAATGAAGATGCATAGCACCACTAGCTGAAAGGGGGATCTTGTCAAAGACCCAAAGTGGGGGTGAGCAAGCAAAGCGAGCAAAACTACAGACTCAATTTGTAGTTTAGACTTCAAATTTGAAATGAAAATTAAGTTTCTAGGACCTTCTTACGTTCTGATGTGATCATATGTCAGACATACAATCATCCAATATGGTTTTTAATCACTTCATGCCAATTGTCTCATTTTTCCTGAGCCATGCATGATCCAGTTACAGCCCTTTACAAGTAAAATTTAGCCAGACTTGGCAATCGGGATCTGTAGTATACTTCTCGGAAAACATCTTTGTTTAAATGCAATAGAAACATCAAATGAATACATATTTTATTAAAAGAGTAGCAACAATGAAAAGGTGTTGACTGTATAGCAATTAAAGCACCAGATTATCAAGAATGCAGGCATCTATGAATGAGAGAGTATCATTATGTTCACCAAACTTGATAAAAAATAAAAACTGAGCTACAATTCAAACCAGATCCACGCACTCCCCATGCAGAAGTGTCCTGTTGACCCCTGTTCTGGCGAGAATGATCAGCTACACTGTTTGCCGCAATGTTTTGAAAGGCATGGGATTGATGAACTTGAATTTGATTTCTGAATTAGCAATGTCCTGGTCAAAAATTTGAAACTTGTTCAAAATCATAATTAAATCCTGAAACATCGGAAACTTAATTAGAATTGTAAACTTTGGCTGCCATGGGTGCAATAGTTGTAAATTTGTTGGATGCAACAAGGATAAAAATTTTGCAACCAATAAGTTCTTTGACCAATTAATCCTCAAGTTAGACATCCTCTCAAAGAGTTTCACAACCAGCCTCAAATTTTCCACTCCCTCCCTACTTTCTCCCTCACAAAAAATAAGTATATCATATGCAAACCGTCAGTGAGTGACCAAAATATTATTCCTCCCAATTGACCAACCCTTGAATAGCTGCAAACAATTTGCTCTCGAAATCAATTTACTTGGGGCTTCAGCAATGAAAGTAAATAGAAAGGGAGAAAGGGGGTCACCCTGCCTAAGCCCACTGAATCCTTCAAAGAAATCATACACTGTCCCATTAACCATTACTGAATAGTGACTAGTTTGTAAACATCCCTTAATCCATTTACACCACAAATTTCCAAAGCCGCACCTCCTAATAATATCGATCAAGAAGTTCCAATCCACTAAATCATAGGCTTTTTCCAATCATGTTTGATAGCCACTCTTTTCCTCTTTAATCTCTTTTGAGCCTCCATACATTCATTGGCAATTAAGATTTGATCAATAATCTGTCTATCCTGTATAAAGGCCCCTTGAGATTGAGAAACAAATGGAGGGGTCACCTTCTTAGTCCTTAGAGACAACACCTTTGCTATCACCTTGTAAATACTGGTGACTAGACTTATTGGTCTGAAATTCCTTGGCTGGTTGGCATTTATCTTTTTTGGGATCAGTGCTAAAAATGTTTCATACCCGGATTTATTACCCCTCTTCTATAGAATTCATTGAACACTCTGAGCAGATCTCCTTTAATTATGTCTCAACAGTTTTGATAGAATGCCCTTGTGAAACCATCGGGTCCTGGTGCTTTTGATTTGTTCATAGAAAAGGCCGCTTCCTTAATCTCTCCCTCTTCAAACTTTTTTTTCCAAAACTTGGACTTGAGTCTTCCCCAATGTCTCCCAATCAATGCCTTCAATCCTCCATCTCTCAACTAGGGGTCTTCTGTTATTCCATCCAGCATATCGGGCTGTGTTGATATTTTGAACCTTGGGATGCAGTATTTTCTTTTGATTTTTTCATGTACAGTTGTTCTATTAATGGGTGTTATCTGGTTAACAATCCCTACGAGGGACAATTCATGATGTTTTGGAATGACTATTACCAATGATAGATGAGAAAAAAATGGAAGAAGCTGGTGATTCCCTGAACTTTTTGGCAATGGATTACAATGATCATATTGTGCTTGAAGCAAGTTACATGCTAGGTACGCCTACCTGGTCGTTTTACCTTTTCACCTGCATATTTGTGGTCAACCATCTAAACCATTTCGTCTCATTTTCATAATTGCAAACAGTGTTTTCCCCATTCTTCAGCCAACTAACTAGTACCTTTACCAATATTCATCACACTAGCTTGCTGAACCCCCTCTAACACACTGACATTTCAGTCATTGTAGTCTCCTTCACCACTTGGCCCTGAAAATATTGCTTTCGCAAGCCCTTATCCCTCACAATCCCTTCTTCATTCCTTATATCTCCTCTGTCCTCTCACCCCCAAGGGTCCTGGATTTCCATAACTACTTCCATCAAATTTATGCTGTCAAAATATCCTCTTTGGGTTCCCACCTTCTCAATTCCTTGATTATTGTAAATGCTGAAACTGCCACTGCCAGTCAGCCACCACCTCCCATTCTCTTACAATGTCATTGATAGAGAAAGGCTTAAAGATCTCCAATGATTTTATCCAGAACACCACTTTAATCTTTATGAATTCAATTAATGGCTGCTTGGTTCTATTTTGTTCTTTAAAGATTCTTGCATTCCTTTTTCTCCAAATTGTCCATAAGATAGTTGCCCTTGTACACTTGCATAATGCTCTTTCTCTTCTTATGGTTTACCCTAAGGGTCCAAGAGAGAATGTATCTGTCACACAAGTTGGAGTTGCCTTCCTGCAGCCAAATAGATAAAAAAACATTCCCAATTACCAACAACAAATGAACCCTTGCAGGAACTTGTTCAGACCACACCTCATCACAAGCATTGTAAAGAATGCATCAATTAGGGTATAAGCACAAGCATTATAAAGAACACATCAATTAAGGTATAGGCACCAATAGCATCTCTCTTTTTTTTCATTTTTTTTTTGGTAATATGTCTAGCAAAAAGTATGAACCCTTGGAGGAATTGGTTTAACCACACCTCTTTAACAGAAAAGGACTGGGATGGGTCACGATGGGAAGAAAGAGCCTTAAGAATGAGGCTCAAGAAAAAGAACCAGAAGGTCAAGGACTAGGAATCTGAACCCTCTTGTTGGCTTTGAGGGTTCCACAAAACTTCCCTCCAGCTCATATAAAAGTAATTAATAACGTTATCAAGCTATGACTCTCAAATTCCCCTTCAGAAAACTAAATTGCAATTAAACCCAAAGGAGGAGGAACTAGGGGAAAAACCTAGAAACTAGCTTATTCTTGAAGGAGGAAAGGTTAAAGAAGGGAAATGATCTCTAAGAGAAGTCTCCGCCAACCATACTGAAACAGATTCTATCACTTTAACACACATCAAGCCTGAGGAGGAATGAAGGAAGCATACTGTGAATAGCCTTCCAAGGAGATGCTAATGCTGCCTTTGTTGATACTCTGGCATCCCAGCCATTATCCTCTACCCCATGATTGCTTGCCACCAACTTGTGCTACAATTTCTCTATCACTTGAGAATCTCTACAACCCTTTCCCTAGTAATGCCTTGTTCTTCTTAGCCACCCTCCCAATCCCCAGCCCTTCCCCTGGCACCCATAAAATGTCTCTCATAATTGTCTCCACCTTTCTAATTACCCCTTGTGGCATCCTGAAAATTAATAAATGGTGATAGGTAAATTAGAAAGAATGGACTTAATGAAAGTAATTCTTCCTCCAAGTGAGATATAGTTCCTTTCCCAATCTGCTAACTTTCTGTAAGTTGCATGTTTTCACTGATTTTCTTTCTTTTGAGCTAATGGGATTATTGCTAATTTTCGTCTAATTAGCCATGTAAGCTGAGCTTACTGTTTTGAAATGTGGTTTTTGAATATCCTGCTATTTTTTTTTTGATTGCTAATTTCTTGCTACTTATAGACACTGGTTTCACTGCTTGTTAATATGGTTTGGTCTTTGGATTTCCTAAAACTCTTTTGTTTGCTGGCATAACTGCTGCCTTTTGTGATTGTCATTCCTGCAGGTTGGCATATATGTAGCAAGTGTGAAAAGGCTTCTTCCATTTATATGTGCTATACATGTACATTTTCTTTATGCAAGAATTGCATCAATTTAGCTGAGTTCTTTTCTGTTAGAGGAAACAAAGGTTTCTGTGCTACATGCAGGAGTCTTGTAATGCTGATTGAAAATGGTGCCCAGGCTAACCCGGAAATGGTATGATTTATTGTCTCTCTGTTATTATAGATTTTTTTAGAAGGTTTTTCATTTTTGTTATACATTTGATAGAACAATACACTGAGTTTCTTATTCTCAAGTTTGGCTGTAGCAACATTTTGGGTCAAACATTCTTTACTTTCCCGGTTGGGTTTTAGTTCATACACTTAAGATATTTGCATTAATGTTAGAAACAGAATATACAAATTTGCATTCTGAATTACAATCTTATTTTAGAGAGGTCAGACCTCTCCCCATTTATATAATTGCAACTTCGTCTAGAACGTATTATCCCTCAGAACTCGTTTATTTAAAGTATCAGTCTATGGTTAGCTGATCTCTGAATCCACTGCACTACGATGTCCATCCTACTCATCATCCATCTAATCTTTTTGATTTCATTCCTGTACATCCAAAGAGCTTCTTTGTAATTCATCAGCCATCTGATTAGACCATTTGAATCCCTTTCTGTTATCAACTTCTGTATATTCATTTCTTTTGTTCTCTTCAAACCTTCCGCGACAGCCATCATTTCTGCTCCCAATGAGTCCCCTATTTCAATCGGCCCTGAGAGCATTGCTATTACATGACTTGTTCCTAAAAACTCCCTACTCCTGGTTCCCCTGGGTTACACATTCTGCTGCCATCAAAATTTAATTTTATATAGCTTTCCTATGGAGGTAACCGTTTTTTGTGTTCTATTTTCTTGGCCACTGAACAGTCTGCTATTTCTTCAAGTTCCTCAATCTATCATTGACTGAATACAAAGAAAAGGCCTCTAAGGTTTTCACCCAATGAGATACCTTCACTGATATGCATTCAAACAATGCCTTCAAGCTTCTCTCCTGATCTTTTTATCTTGCCAAGGTGGTGTTGAAGCCTGTAAGTTATTGGAGTTGCTCAGACCTTGCAAGTCATTTTAGTATTATCATTTAGAAGTCAATTCTGGGGACATGGCTTAATTTATCATGAGTTCTGTACCACCAATTGCTGCTTGGAGTCCAGGGGTGTAACTTGGGCCGGGTTAGCCTGACCTTTGCTGAAAAGTTGGTGTTGGGGATTATGGTTGAAAAATACAAACGTGTCTTAACTTCAGGTTGGGTTATTGTAATGCATTAGGAAAGTTGATCCAGCCCAACCTACGTTGTCTTTTCATATTTGTATATATAAATATTTATATATGTATTTTTAAGTTTAAAGGCTATGCCCCCCCACCCCCCAACATGAGTAGAATACTCCTAAAGCACTGTAAACTTTTCCTCATCTAAAGGTTTAACCAACCACCCACTCAAAAAAAAAAACACTCTAGTTGACCCTAATTGGCTAATCATAAGTCTAGGAAAGTGGCATTTTTTTTCTTAAATTGAGAAAAAAAGGTGAAGAAATTGGGCTAACACAACCTGATAGTTCAACAACTTGGGCTGGGATAGGATTGGCCTCAACCCAAGCTAACCTGCTCTGACTTGCACCCTTATTGGAATTCCTTTTTTTGCTTATACATGTGATTCATAGTTTTCAAGGCGCCAAGGCGAGGCTGGGCGTCAGGGGGGCGCCTTGTCGCCTATGCGATGGGTTTTTTTATATAGAAAACATAGATCCTAGGGTAGTTCCCTAGGTACCATAGCCATATTTCCTTAATAATTATTCATAATTTTCATAAGAAAAGTATAGAGTTCATGTTAAAGTATAGAAAATGAACATATTTATGAGAAGGAAAAGAAAATTCAAAAAATATAGGGGCTGAACCCTTAGTAGTAGTAGTAGTTGAAAATGTGTTGATTAGGCAAAACTTTAAGTTCTTCCTTGCTTATTGGTTCAGGTTTTAAAGTGTCTTTGAGGGTTCAATACAGCATTTAGCAATGTTTGTATTGGTTAAATCCCAACAAATAAGAAAATAATAAAAACAATTTAGTATATAAACACACAAAATGAATATTTTAATTTAATAGTGCCTATTTTATAATTATAGTGTCAAAAATAAAGAATAAAAAAGTATTTTACAATACATAGTACAAAACTGCTTGGCGATTAGGCGAGGCGAGCCTCAAAGGGCACCTTGTCGCCTAGGCGTCGCCTTGACAACTATGATGTGATTACAAAAACAATTTTCATGGATATCTTAATATGTTTCTCCTAGAATCCGACATTCATTAATCTGACCTCTGAAACTGCAGAAACCACAACAGAAGTTAGGATGCCAAGGTTGAATCTGGCCTTGTGGAAAAGGAAAACAAGGCTTGGTAGCTGTGGATCCTTTATTACCCTTTTCTTTACTGTCTTGTCCTTTTTATTCAGCTTAAACTGTGTTCTGACACTTGAAATAGACTGGATTTGGACCATAAAATTGATTGGATTGGATAAAGTACTACAGGATTGAAAGCTATGTTGGATTTCAACTACTTCCTACAGTTTGACCCAGTCAACCTTTCTTTTAGCATTCAGTTGTGTGTAGCTTGCAAATGGGGCTGACCTTCTGCAGGGCTACAATTGGATTGGATTTCGATCAGATCTAGCTACAACCAAATCAGATCTGGTTATCAAATCTTTGGATCCAAATCCAATCTGGAATCTGATATGTAGGATTCAGATTTAATCAACCTCCGCCTATTGTGCTCAAAATGACAAACTTTTAAAAAGTATTAAAAAACTAATTTCTTTTAACTTATACGTGTATAATAAATGTATAAATATAAATACAAAATATCATCATCATTATCATCCAAGCCTTATCCCAACTACATGGGATGGGCTACATGAATCCTGTTTCACCATTCTATTCTGTTTAAAGTCATATCAATTTTTGAAAAGTGTGCTTAAATAATTTCTTAGTACTTCCACTCTTGCCCTTTTTGGTCTATCCCTAGCCCTTCTAGTCCCTTCAACATGCAACAGACCACTTCTTTTTACAGGTGCCGCCAGTGGTCTTCTATGCATGTGACAAACCATTTTAATATAGTTTCTCTCATTTTATCACCTATTTGAGCTACTCCTAGGTTCCTTTGAATGACTTCATTCTTACCCATCATTTCTAGTTTTTATTTTCTTTACTTATCCATCTCAGCATTTACATTTCTGCCACACTCATATTTAGGACATGTTTCTTTACTGGCCAAGACTCCACACCATACATTATGGCTGGCCTTACAACAGCTTTATAATTTTTTTTTGACGCCATAAAACTTCCTTTTAATCTAAGTTGTATTCTCCTATCACATAACACTCTGGATGCATCCCTCAATTTTGCCCATCCTGCTCTAGTTCTATGGGTGATATCGTCCTCATTCTCTCTCTTTTTTAGCACAGTCTCTCCCTTGTTGTGAATTATTGAATTTATTAGTTATAAACTTTAGTATATATATACACATGATTATACTGTATATATTTATAATAATTTTCAATTGGACTTGGATTTAATCAGATTTGATGGGTTAAATCCACATCCTATCCAATTATTAATCTGCAAGTGCTAACATCCAAAATTGGGATAATCAGATAAGATGTTGAATTGGGTATCGGACTTCTGGAGTCCATTGACAGCCATAACCTTCACTCCAGTCTTCTTTTATATCTTTAGCTGATAATCAAATAAGTTTTATATCAGAGAAGAAGAAGAATGGTCCCACTTGAAAAGAATCATGCAGATGGGGGTGAAGGATATACAACTATAAGTTGACTTAAGCAGATAGCAATATCAAACAAGCAACTACAGCTTAGGGCTGAGCCTGAGAAGCCAGGGCCTGTACAAGGTTCATCATGCAAATCCTTCCTCAAGAGAAAACCATGAACCTTTTGCAAGAGAGTTCACAAGATCATTTTCTGATGGTACCTATCTGGATGTACTATTCACTTATTCAGTCAAACAGTCAAGCATCTCAGTTTTCTGATCTGATGTCTTGGAGCCCAAGGACCATCTGGACCAGTCAAAAGCTACCCAATCATTACTTGGTATTTATCAAAAGAAAAAAAAAAACAAAGCTATCCAATCACCACTTGGTGATAGAGGTAGGAAGCTGAAAACTTACAGCCAAAAGAAGAACCCAACATTGTGGTTGTAGGTTATTGCTGTAATTTTTCAAAGTTATTTTCTTTTCTCTTTGGTATTTTTTCAAATTGCATTAAGATATGGTTTTCCTAGTTGAATTAGGAGTTGGCTATCCTCATCATGGTAGTCATATGTTTTCCTAATTGGTTTAGGACTTGTGTAGTTATTTCAGTAAGTGAAATGTTATCTTAGTAGGTGTAGTTCATTGTCCTAAGAGAACTCAGATTTGTCTCCTACCGAAAAAGTCAACTTTTTATTTCAGTCCTAAATGACCACTAGTATTTGAATCATCCTTGGTGTTTTAGTGGCATTTTCTTGGTTTTAAAGTAGGAGGCAAGGGAAAAAGGCATAGCCAGCCTTCCAATCTATGCTTATATTCAAGGCCTTTGGTTTTCTTCACATAAAAAGGTATAGTTGGAGTTTCTATTTGGAATTGTTCCAAATTCCTTTGTGATGTTGATTTTTTTGATCAATGACAGGAAACCATTAGATTAATAAAAAATTTAGTTACTACACTCCAGAGAGAGATAAAAAGGCTTAACTCTCTCCAAGAGGACAACAAAGAAAAAACTTACAAAACAGCCCAAAACATTTGATCCCTTCCCACCCCTGCATTGCCAAAGCAGCTGTAAATGCATTTACTCTTTCTCAACCCACTGAAATTGGATTTCCAGCCCCCTAGTCAGCCATTTAATCTCCCTCCTTTCATTAGCAAATTTCCACAGTCCACTTTCCTTCTGTAAGCAGCTTAACACCAGGTTTGAGTTCCCTTCAACGGCTAACTTTTGTATCAGTTCCTTAGTCTTCCTTATACCCTTCAGTACAGCATAAATCTCAGCTTTAAGAGAATCCTCAACCCCAATGGGACCTGAATTGCAAGTACCTTCCCATCCTCATCTCTAAAGGCCCCTCCTACACCTGACGGACCTGGATTGTCCTCACTACTACCATCAAAATTTAACTTTGTAAAGCCACAGGCTGGTGGTGACTACACAGGACAAACAGAAGAGCGAGCAGGAGCAGAATTAGCCACCTCCATCTAGCTATTCAGCAACGTATCCGTAGAAACATCATCAAACAGGTCCAAGGATTTTAGCCAGTTCACCACCCTAACTGTTATTACTTCAATAAGGGTTTTCTTTACTTCTTTCAAGGATTGCAAGCACCTTTGTGATGCTGATTCCTTCAAGAAACTATTGAGTTCTCTTTCTTAATTGTTACTCTAGGTGCTAACTCTAGAGAATCCTAGGCACTGATTCCTGGATTATTTTTATCCTCTTTGTAGGTATATTGTATATCACCTGGCATTTCTCTTCAACAATCAAATCTGGCCACCCACCTTCGGTCCAGGTTTTGAACTTTTGGATTCAGTGCCAGTCATCATCATCGTATCATCTAAGCTTTATCACAACTATATGGAGTTGGCTACATGAATCCTGTTTCACCATTCCGTTCTATTTAATGCTATATCCATTGTTAAATTTTGAAAGCTTACATCATTTCTTACTACTTTGACCAATGTACATTTTGGTCTGCCCTCACCTTTTCATCCCCTTCAACTTGCATGTGTTCAACATTGGTGCTGTTGATGGTTTTCTATGCACGTGTTCAACATTTTTTTTGGATTTCTTTTGAAGGGCTACACAATGGGGGGCAGCCCATCTCCCAACTCATAACCCCCCCCAATGCAGGTGCAGGTGGGATTTGATCCCAAGTCTCTGCTAGATCAGTAGGAGACCTTACCAACCAGCTGGTTGGCACCTTGCTATGCACGTGTTCAACCATCTTAGTCTACTTTCTAACATTTTATCACATATTGGAGCTACTGTTGCATTCAATGCTAGTATTTGTTTTAATCAGAACATAATAAAGTGCATTTATAATTTGGAAATCAAAGGAATCCTTTCCGACTTCTCCAATTCTAAACATGATTAATCTTAACTTTGATGGTTGTACCTTGGGGGCTTATAAAAAAAAAGGTTGTACCTTGGCGAATCGAGGAATTTCTGGAGTTGGGTGTGTTTTCAGAAATTGGGAGGGAAGCATTGTTGCTCTATAAGTTTTGGTGACTATATTAGGGCAGATATTTGGTTGTTCTAAATGGGCTAAATCTGGCTATATCTTGGTATTGCAAGGATATCTTGGTTGAATCCTTGAAGGGGACTCAACATGTAATTGCATTTTGGTTGAGAAACAATAAAATGGTCATGGAAGATTAGATATATGTTAAAGGAGATTACAAATTTAGTGCTGGAACTGGGGACAGTTAACAAATGGACTCCGAGATCAGCTAATAGTGTTGGGGAAGGTTTTGCATAACAAAGGTCAAATAGAAGATAAATGTACTGGGGTTCAACTCCACAGGGTGGGAACTCATAAACATGAAGCATGATATTCGTAAGGCAGCTAGCCAAGGATAGATACCTTTTACAGGTGTTTTGCACATTAAACCAGAAAGCCACACACTCCTTTTTCAACACAACAGCCCATTAACTCCATACAATGATACAAGAAAATCGTCAGGACTAATCATAATAGTTTGAGCCTAAAATAAGTCCCTAATCATCAAGAGAAAACCTAAAATAACTCCCTCTTCTCTACTACCGCAAGCTAAATTGTCAACAAGCTGGATACAGTGGAATAAGATGTTCACTTCAGCAGTCAATAATTCTAGTTTCTTTCTTCATCCATCAACCAACACATCAGCATCCAAAAATCTTCCTCAACATCCAATGAGAATGTTCCTTGATGTACAGTAGTATAATTTGTGATGCCTGTAAACACCCATGTGCTTTGCCACATCATTTAACACTTTTGGCTGCTTTATTGTACTTCTACTGTATGTTGTGCTAATTTTGTCTCATTTGATTCAAAAATCAGTATTAATGGCTGAATCATCAAAATGCTGTTGAATTAAACGATTATGAACTGCCAGAATATATTGTGCTTTATCTATTTTGTACTTTAATGGTTGATTTCTGCTATTTATCTGAAGCTTTCTTTTGATTTCTGTATATATGTGCAGGCTAATGTAGATTTTGATGACAAAAGTAACTGGGAGTACCTTTTCAAGGATTACTGGATGGATTTGAAACAGAAGCTGTCTTTAGCTTTAGAAGAACTCACTCAAGCCAGAAATCTGTCAAAAGGATCTGGTGACACTCAGAAGGACGAATCTTCTGATGAACTGTATGATGCTAAAGATGATAAAGGTTCCAATTCAGACAGTTCTTCTGGTCATGCTGAAGAAGAAAATTCCAAAAGAAGGAAGGCTAGAAAACGATCAAAGACCACCAAAATTGGGGATTCTCCTGGTGTGGCAGAGGCAGCTGGTGGAGATGAGATATTTATGCCTGATAACATTGAGTGGGCTTCAAAAGAGCTTCTGGAGTTTGTTTCACACATGAGAAATGGTGATAAGTCTGTTCTATCACAATTTGATGTCCAAGCGCTCTTGCTAGAATATATTAAAAAAAACAAACTTCGTGATCCTCGGCGGAAAAGTCAAATTATTTGTGATTTGAGACTTGAGAATCTCTTTGGAAAACCACGTGTGGGGCATTTTGAAATGTTAAAGCTTCTTGAATCTCACTTTCTCATAAAAGATGATCCTCAGGCAGATGATATTCAAGGGGAAGCTGTCAATACTGATGCAAGTCCCTTGGATGTTGATGGGAACAATGATATTGTCACAAAGGCAAGTAAAGATAAAAAGCGTAAAACACGCAAGAAAGGAGATGAGAAAGGACCACAAACCAATCTTGATGATTATGCGGCAATTGATGTTCATAATGTTAACTTGATTTATTTGCGACGTAGCTTGATGGAGGATCTACTTGATGATACTGCTAAGTTTCATGACAAGGTCATTGGCTCTTTTGTAAAAATAAGAATTTCTGGCAACAATCAAAAGCAGGATATGTACAGGCTAGTTCAAGTTATAGGTATATTTTTATAATTACTAATTATGGCTTAAAAATTTGTCATTGGCATGCATATATCGGTGCACATTCTTTAGAATTGTAAAACAATCAATAATTATGATGTAGGTACATGCAAAGCTGCAGAGTCTTACAAAACTGGCAAAAAGGAAACAAATGTGATGCTAGAAATATTAAACTTGAACAAGACAGAGATCATATCAATCGATACAATTTCAAATCAGGAGTTCTCTGAGGTAAGAATAAACAATTGAAGGCATGCTCCTTTTCTTATTAACTTTTTTGATTGTTAATTAATGACCAGTAGCTTCATTAATGGAAATCAATTCAGCACTGGGTACAGGCAAAACTTCTTTTCTCCTATTAGAGAGAGGACAAAAACAGGCCTTAACAAACAGTAGAAGCAACTATGTATAGAAGGTCTCCCCAATATAGATCTGATTTTCCGACCCCTCTTGCTATTGAGTCATTCCCTTTCAATGAATTTGGTGATCTGGGCATGCAAATTTTACTATAGAATTAAAGCTGGGTGGATAAAATGGAATTTTGTTTTGGAGTCTGATGCAACCGAAGAATACTAGTAAAGCTGAAGGCAAAACTGCTATGGGCGGCCATGTTTTGTTAGTTACAACAGAAGAGGAACACAAGGTCTTTCAAAAGGTTAGCTATGATTCATCTAGTGTGATGTTGCATAGCTTAGAAAGATATACACTTGACTAGAACTTGGTAAAAGTTGATGAGCGGCAAACTTAGTCCGTATCTGTAATCTTGGAGAGCCTTATTGTTATAAATTTCAATATGGGGGAAACCAGTAACTTAGAAATAGAATTGTTTAATGCTATGGAATAGTTCCTCTGAAACTGAGGAAGTGCCACTTGAAATGCCTGATTCTGTATCCAAACTTGTCAAAAAAATGCGAGATTCTGTATCCAAACTTGTAAAAAAAATGTGAGATTCTGTATCCAAAATGTTAGATCAGGATGCAAATCATAACTTCTTTTTTATTGTTCATTACAAATCAGAATAGTTTTTATTAGCAATCCAGAAGAAAATAGGGATTACAAGCAGAAAGTAAAGCCATTTAGCATGATCATAGTGCATTAAGCAGGTGGCTCCCTAGTGTGGTGGATAGTATGGTAAATAGCTTAGCAAGGGTAGGAGTATCGAGGGACAATCTGGTTTGGGGCACCACACCAGGTCCTGTAGCTAATTTGTAGCACTGTTTGTTCTTCATTGTTAGTATATGGGCAGTTTAGAGTTATTATAGCCCCCTCACTAGCTGGGACCTGTGCAACGCATGGGCTTTATTAAGCAAAATATAAAAATGGAAATCTATGACATTTTAAATTAGGCTTAGCTTGTCCAGCTCCAACCCAAGCATTCTTTTTGGGTGATTTACTTATCTTTAATTACTTTAGCATTTAATTTTTAATTTTTGTTAGTTAATTAATTTTATTTTTTAAATTTCTGCTGATTAATTTTAAAGCTATATGAATTAATTTTAAAATCGTTAATTTTGCAATTTTAACATTATGAAATTATAATTATTTTTATTATTATTTTTTTAAATTTTGCTAACCTGGTTTTTGCTTAAGCTGTTTTCTTTGTCTTCTTAATCCAATTTGCTGAAATAGGTAACTTGATATTATAGATAACGTGTCAACACTGTCAATAGTTGATATGATGATACCATTTGTTTTCACTACTTTTGCTGCACATTACATGGTGATATCAACTTTGATGTTATTGACTGTATCAACGGTGCACTCAGCTTCATCATTTAAACTGTTCACAGTTTCAATAATTCTCCAAACTGGCAGCTTATCAATGGGGTGAAGTAACTTAACCCTTCAACTATAAATGGTAAGTAAAGTTAATAGGTGAATGTGGACTTCAAGAAAAAAGTTAATAGGTGAACGCAATGGAGGTCTTAGTAATTTTCTAAAAATTTTGGGGGAGATATTCTTCAATTGAGATAATGAAGGATCCCTTCTCTTTTAATTTGTACGAATATCCTACTCCTATACAGTGTTGTATGTATCCCCTGTTACAATTTCCTCAAAATCAGAAGATGTGAAATTGCAAGTGAAAGATTGTCTCCTTTTCCCAAATCTTGTACCATCGACGTCCATTCCTCAAATGGAGAAGACATTCTATTCACCTAGGGTTCCAAAGGCGGGTAATGAAAATCCACCATGATGGAAGTGACAAAGGTACTCTTTAGTATTGGAACCCTAACCTATCTTTTCGTCCTTAGAATGAGAAAAACAATGGTTTTCACTTATTGATTCATGCTCCATTAGTTGTGAAGATTGCACCACCTATTCTGGTTCTTGCTCATCTACCTTGCAAGTTTAGATTTAAGCCATTCTCATTGTCTTCTTAACTTGGTTTTATTGAAATAGGTACTGTTAAATCCTGATCGACATGAGAAGTGAAAAGCAGCAGAGAATTTGTCTAATGAAACCATCATAGTCTAGCCAATCTCTCTGCTCAATTCTCTTTCTCTTTTCCCTATATTCTCTCTTTCTGCTTCTTCCCTTCTCTCTCCCCTCTTGTTTTTTCTCTGACAAAGTGTCAAGAGCTCAAAGCACTTCTAACATCTCGGTCATCAAGGTCTCTTTGAACTCAGAATATTGAAATGTTGTCATGTGGAAGACAAGAGGTCTCTAGCTCTAGCTCAAGAGACACATTAATACAGCCATAGACCAATAATTTTTTAATAATGAAAAGTCTCTCAAAATGACATGTTTGTATACATGGACCAGTTTATGTGTTTTTTTTTCTTTAACAAAGAAAAATGCAAAAAAGGAGAAAATAGATAAATTATTTATCTGAAAGGAGAGGCCATGTGACATGGGCTATCTTGTTTTAATTTAATATTTCCTCAAGGATCAAAATTTTGCAGTGTATAGACCCCTATCGGCTGATACATATCATATTGGTGACCCACCAATACACGAAATACATAGAGTTTTGGGTAAGACCTCATTCAGGGGGTAGCAGGCCTTATAGCGACCCCCCTCCCCTGAATATGCTTAAGAAAACTAAAAAAAGCATGGTGTTAAAGTCAAGTTGAGGATAAGTAGTGTAGCTGAAGGTAGGCTTGTAATCTAATTTGTTGAGAAGTTAGGGTTTAGGGTTAATAATCAAGTTGAGGTCAAGTAGCACATCCAAGAGAACATAAGAGAAGGGATAAAAGGTAAAGGAGAACGAATGATGTAGTACATCCAAGCCCACCCAAGTTGCACCACTATTGAAGATTATAAGTTGGAACATAAGGGAAGGTAGACATTGTTTTAATTCAAGAAACATAGTTAGCTAAAATTGATAGGTGGTAGAATGGTCACATTATGAAGTAATGGGGTGATTAAGAAGAGTTGGTAGGAAGATACATTGTTAGTGAAATTGAAACATCTTGAGGATGGCTTTGAGTTGATGTTAACAAATGTCTATGGTCCAAATAACTATAGAGAAAAGAATGAACCGTGGGAGGAAATGTTCAAAGTATTGGTACAACCCAATATGCACGGACACGTGTATTGGATATTTAGTTTACTGCCCTACTTTTTGTAGTTTTTTTTTTCAAAATTTTACAAGGGGTTGGTCTTAGGAAGGCCTACCCCCTAAGATTACAAATATACAAAAAAGTGAGTGTTTTCTAGAGATATTTTGCTTAGATATTTGGAAAATCTAAAATATAGGAATATTTTATAGAAACATTAAATTTGTTAATAAATCTTCAAGTGATCATTAAACAAAATGTAATTGCACATTTTAGGCTCCAAAAACCATGGCAAAGAATTGTATAAATCAAATAGGATAAAATCAGTGTTTTAAAAGCGCAAGGGCCAAAAAAAACTAAAAAATAAAAAAAGTCAGAAAATTAAAAAGAATTTTAAAGAATGCAAAAAATTCAAAAATATTAAACATAATGTTAATAAAAAATATAAACATAAATTTTAAAATAAATGTTTTAAAAAACCAATTAATTAAAATTAAAATACATAGAAATAACATGTAAAGCATATTCAAGTGAAAATTTAAAAATAAAAGCAAACATATAAAGCATTTTCAAGCAAGTAAAACCCACAATCTCATTTTTTCCTTAATTGCATTGCTTCAAGTAGCTAATGTGATGTAAAACATATTGCATTCTTGATTCTATGAGTCGCCTCTGTACCACACCCCTCGAGGCAAGCCCGAACAAGGCTATGTTAGGGTCTGAAATTCTTATTTCTCACATGAAAAGTAATGATTTTATCACTTTAATTGCCTTTTAAGAAGATATTTTATTGGAATGAATGAATGAACAACATTAGCAAATAGGGGTTCTCGGAGCTTCGGTGAGCAAGCGAAGCAAGCACATCATGCACAAGGTGCATATCGAGGGCGGAGCCCCCAACCTAGTCGTTAGACTAAAAAAAAGGCAAAAAGCGCAAAATTTTTTAAAGGTGCATGCCTGGGCTAAGGTGCAAGGCGCACCAAGCGTGTGCCTTTTGAAAGGGGTGTGCCTAGGACCTGGACGAGGGGCATACCCCAAATTAAATCACTCCAATGTTTTAAAAGTGAAAGGCGCAAGGCAAGGCGCGCGCCTTTTTGAGGCAAGGCGCACAATTTAAAAAAAGCTAAAAAATAAAAAAAATTGCCAAAAAAATTTAAAACATAATATTAATAAAAATATAAACTTAAATTTTAAAATAACTGTTTTAAAAAACCTATTATCTAAAATTGAAATACATAAACATAATATGTGAAGCATATTCAAATGAGAATTAAAAAATGAAATCAAACATATAAAACATTTTCAAACATATAAAACCCACAATCTCTTTTTCCTCAATTAAATCAAGTAGCTAATGTGACATATTACATTTCTAATTCTACGAGCCGCCTTCGTGCCACGCCCCTTGAGGCAAGCCCAAACAAGTCCATGTTAGGGTCCTAAATTCATAGTTTTCATACAAAAAATAATGATTTTATAGTTTTAATTGCTTTTAAGATGATGTTTTATTAGTATGAATGAATGGACAACATTACCAAATAGGAAAAGGCGTTAAATTTTCAAAAGGTGCACGCCTTGGCTAAGCATTAGGTGCACGCCTGGGCTAAGCATTAGGTGCACGCCTAGGCGCACCAGGCACACGCCTAGGCGCACCAGGCGTGCGCCTTTTGAATGGGCTGCACCTAGGACCTGGGCGAGGCGCCTACCCTAAAATGCTTCTTGCTTGTGTGC